TTTTACTTGTAATGATAACCCTAGAAATTAAATTTGCATCCAAGACTTTTAAAAGTCAAATGTAAAGTATCTGCTTTTACAATTTTCTGAGCATTCAAGCACATTAGAACTCTTTAAACCCATTTGTTCCCTCCTCAAGTTTTGTATTATTGTTTTCCTGCGTATTTTTTTGTTTGTTCATTGTTGAGGTTTTTTTGTTTTGGAGACAGGGCCTCACCCTGTCACCTAGGCTAGAGTACAGTGATGTGATCATAGCTCCCTGCAACCTCCAACTCCTGGGCTCAGGCTGGGGGATACAGGTGCACACCACCGTGCCTGACTAATTTTTTAAAATTTTTTTGTAGATATGAGGTCTTGGTATGTTGCCCAGGCTGGTCCCAAACTCCTGGCCTCAAGCAGTCCTCCCACCTCGGCCTCCCAAAGTGCTAGGATTACAAGTGTGAGCCACTGCACCTGGCCAAATTCTACACATATTTAAACTTCACAAAACATTACTATTATTGCTTTAAACAGTAATATTTATTTATACTTATGATCTCCATTGCTCTTGATTTCTTCCTGCATTTTCATTCTCCATATGGGATTATTTTTCTTCTACCTTAAGAACTCCCTTTAGCACTTCATTTAGCACAAGCAGGACGGTAAAGAATTCTCTCGTTTTTGTTCATCTGGAAATATATTTATTTCACTTTCACTTTTGAAGGATATTTTTTCTAGGTAGAAAATTCTAGTGTAAGAGTTATTTTTTTCAAGATGCTAAACATGTCATTGCATTATTTTCTAATGAGAAGTTAGTAGTTAACCTTACTTTTCTCCTTTGAAGGTAATGTGTCTTTCCTCTTTGGCTTCTTTTAAGATTTTACTATATATGTTTATGCATATTTGTTCAGTCTGGGGTTAGCAGAGTTTTTTAAATTTGTGGCTTGATAGCTTTGATAAATTTTGGAAAATTCTTGGTTACTATTTTTTTTAAAACAGTAAACAGTACTTCTACCTTCTCTTCTTTTTAGGACTTTAATGACACATGTTTTAGACCTTTTCACTTTGTTCCGCATATTCCTTATTCTATTTTATGTGTTTTTCCCCTCTGTGATTTAGCCTGGATATTTTGTACAAATGCATATAGTCTTATACTGTTTGTAATCTGCTGTTAAGTCCATATATTTAGTTCATAATTTTAGCTATCATATGCCTCTGTTCAAAAATTTCCATTTGATTCTATTTTATGGTTTCAGTTTTCTAGTGGAATCCTGCATCTTGTCATCTATTTTCTTCAACATTTATTACAGGGTTTTATTTTGTTTTCTTTTTTAACACATGATACCTTTTTCTATTGTCTGTTTTTTCTCTTGATTCTGTCTCATAGTAAGGCTGGTAATATGTTACTTAATTATGGGCATGGTTTATCAAAATTCATAGAGGTTCTGGTTGATGTCATCTTCCTCCAGAGTGTTTTTTTCTATTTTAAGCATATTGGTGACAGTTGAAATAGCAGCAAAGTTTATCAGTTAAATTAAGGTTGAACTCATTCAAGACTGGGTTTCAGTCTTAGTAGTATCTTGTCTATTTAGGATTTGTTCCTCCTTCCTTCTAGGGTATAGTCCTTCAGTGATCCCAACCAATCAGCTGAGGTGTTTACCAGGGTTTTGAACCCCAATTTTTATGTCTCCAGCATCATGAAATTGCTAATAAATCTGCTTAGCTTATCAGCCTGTTAGCTATTTTCTCCTCCTTACTGTTTTCTCTGCCACATACTGCTTAAGAATCAGTGAATGACTGGATGAAAAACAGGGATCAGAAAACTGATAAGTCAGTTTTCTGTGTGTTTCTTCTTTCAGAAATTTGGATCCTCAAATTCCGGGCTCATGACTATGTTTTACTCCTCAATTTATGGCTCCAAATTGCCCATCATCGGACTGTTAATATATGTAATAAAGTTTGTACTGGACCAAAGTGAAGTGAGACGAACAAGGGCGAAATGGTAGATTCTGATAAAGCTAAATGAATTCCATGTAAAGGCAGGTCTTGCAATCTAATATTATGTCTTACTTTTTAACATTAAAATGAAAAGATTCTGATTGTAATTTGTTTTTTAAAAGTTTGTGATGGTAGACTCTAGCTGGATTTTGTTTGTTTGTTTTTCTTTGTGTCCTTACCTGGCCAATTAAAAAACTGACAGCCCATGTCAGTTCCAAATACACTTTTTTGAAATTGTACTAGTGTTTTAAATTTAAAAGTCTGCAAATTCTTTACCCTGGCCTCCAAATCTGTCTTCTTCTTCTTCAGCACTGGCCCATTCTGCTCTCTCTCTCTCTCATCTAACTGTTCTCTACGCATAAAAGGCTCTTTTCATTTCCTGCCCCAGGACCTTCACATACGCTGCTCCCACTATCTGAATTCTTTTTACCCTATAACTCTCCCCTTCATATAATTGATTCCTCTCAGCAGTAAGGTCTTAATGTAAATACGCCCCCATCACAGAGGGCTTCCCTAACCATATCATCCATCTCTTTGACATATTTTTTAACTATATATAATTTGATTGCTTACTTGTTCATTCTTTGTCTCCTGGACTGTCGGGACCACACAGGCAGGGTCTGTGCTAGTTTAGTTTGCTGGTATTAAACTCCTTACCCACATCAAGGGTATAAAAAGGATCTGGAGCCAGAGACTTACAGGAAGAATGACTGAAGATTTCATTAGAAAGCTGAGCTATGAGCCCACCTCTCACTCTGCCCACCAAGGAGAAGGGACCAGGGTTTCAATCTGGTAACCCCAAATCAAGAGGAAGAAACTTCAGAGATACGACTTGAGCAGTTCAGTATGTGTCACCTGCAGTTGGCTTGTGTCTAGTTTACACCTGGCCAAGACACCAGTTGGCAGCCCATGTAAGTGGAGTAGGTGTTGCTGCACTGACTTCCGGAACTATGGGAGTTTTTTTTAGCAAAGTTTACATGAGTGTCTCCTGTAAATCAGGTGTGGACACATACAAGAGAGAGTGCACAGGGTGTCTTAGGAACTCAGCAGGACAGCCAGTGAGGGGTGAGCACACTTAAACAGGGAGAAGTTGCAGGTATGCCTAGCTGTCCCAGAGCTGAGAAAAAGGTAGTATTACCAAGACAAAGCATTTTGAATAGCACATATCAAGGACATTGAAGGCAAGAGATCCCAAGAGATTTGAGAGGGCAAAGGCAGTTTCTCAGAAAATCCATCACAGTGCTCTGAACAGCCAGCTTTGAACAACTGTCAAACAAAGAGCACCAAACAAAAAACTCACAGTGGTAAAGTAAAGTGAGAACTCTCCTGCCTCTCCGTCCTCTCCTTTGCTCAAATCTCCCTTTCTTGAGGAGTGGCAAAGACAGGAGCTGAACAACGGCCCTTCCTACCTGCTGCCTTTTCAGCAGCAGCAGAGCCAGCCAGGAAAGAGAGGACACAAACTTATCCCACTCTGAGATAGCACTCAGTAAAATGATGTTTCAAGTAAAACCAAAGTAATTTTAAAAATTAATGAAATCGTATATAAATATGTGAGCATTTTGATTGTATGACAATAGGATCAAAGTGGTCATTCATGGTCCTTAATATGTTCCTCTAAATTCTTTTTAACAAACATACTATTAAAAAACAAAGACAAATGCAAATAAACCCCTGTCCTTTCCCACTCTAACTGAAAATTGAAATTTATTCATTAATTGAAAATTACTGAGACTCCTCAGACTTGGAGGTTATTTCTCAGACTTTGGAGGTACCAAAGTCCCACTTTCTCCACTCCAGTTTCTGGGATGGGGACCTCTCCCTCCAGTGACTGAGGAGCAGTGAGGAAGAACTTACCCTTTACATAAAAAGAAGCCCTTCCCCTCCTCTTGCCCACAGGGCTGTGGCCCTCCTATTGCTGGCCCCGGCAGGATAAACACATCCCAATACAATATGATACCCCCATCATTCTTCCGTACAGTATAACACACTTACAGTAGCAGGGCCTTTATCTCCTCACCAAGGTGAAGACGTGGGGAATCAGACATACCACTCTGTCTTTGCAGTTCTATGATGCTTTAAGGTTCAATGCTCTGAGTCAGAACTCATCCCAGGCAGCGTTACTACGGTACACCAGTGGCTTCCCCTTGTCCTCCTGGAATGGACCGATGAGTCTTCCTTCTCAAAGGCCACGTGTGCAACCTCTCACCTGCCCTGCTCTGCACTGTCTCAAGGGAACTGGAGAACATACTTGGTCACTGTTGAATATATCATAAAACAGTGACCTCAGTGAAATCCAAACTAGAGCCAAAGTTTGCTCTCCCTGCACTTCTGCTCTGTGCCTTGAGGCTAATCGACAAGTCAATTTGCTGTTTCACCCAACAGCATCCCAAATCTGAAGGTGGCTGCTATGATCCTGGAGTCCTCTTCTGTCTAACCGAAGAGCTGACCTAAAATCCTTGGCTGGGCTTTAAATGGCCCCATGAAGAATTACCATAAATTGTCTCAAAAGCAATGATAAATGCAGCCCTATTACAAACTTTTAGGTGTTTAAAAATAAGCTGATTTTACATTTTAGCAAACAGTATTTAATATAAACGTATCTAAGACGTGGAAACAGAACTTGCATTACCATCGTAATCAATGCGTTGCTCAGAGCAAGTGAACAAGAAATTAATTCAACTGCAGTAACCCAAGGGCAGAACCCAGAAGAGTTGACCTCTCGCCCCGAGTCTTGACACATTCGAGTCAGTGATTTAATATGCTGGATTTCCCTTCCTAAAAGCCCCAAGTATCTGGTGTTCCTGGGTCCTATGAGCATCTATAAATGGGGTATGGCCACACCCATGAAAAGGGGACCGTTACTATTTAAATACAGTAACTTAAGGTTGACTAATATTGAGACAAAATAAATGTTACACCACCATCATAGTATGTTCCAAAGCCAAGCGGAGTTATCTCCCCTGTCCACCCACCCAGAGGCCCTGACACATCCCACATGGAGGAGCACGTGAGCCACCACTGACCTCCCTGTCAGGCATCTCCGCAGAGAGTATGACGCGCCTCCCCCGCAGGTCCGGGAGCAGTCACTCCAGTCGCCCCACGCATCCCAGTTGCCATCTTTTTCTTCTTCTGAACGAGTATTTCTTGAGGTCTAGATGTGGAAAAAGGCAATAAATTATAGACAAAGGTGGTAGAAATATCCCAAAGCTTCCCCAGTTATTCTAGAGTCATCTTCTCAGCTCTTCACAGAGACCAAAGTTGCCTAAAAAGGCTTTGCTTTGGAATGGCTGCATTAAAAAAAAACCACGTAAGACAGGTTTATGTGGAAACTAGCTGGCACGTGCATTCCTTTCCATCTTAAGGAGGTTTTTTCCAGATGGCTTCTAAGTTCAGTTTTATATCTGAAATTTTATCACTCCTAAATTTAAATAAATTGGCTAAATAATGTATTATTATTACTATCATTATTATTATTAGTCTGTTTTCTCACCGACATAGCAGAGTCCCAGCTTGAGCCTAAGGAGTGCTCACCACTGAAATTCTGCCTGGCCTGTCTGTCAGGCAGGCTGGTGGTGACCCCTAAGAAACCTTCTTGCAGGAGGATTTGTGGGACCTCCTGGGAGAGGCTCTGTTACAACAAAACAAAGTTAGATGGACAAGCTTGGCCAAGTTACAAAGCTTACAGGTCCAAAAAATAGGTCACTTATGAGTACCGTGTGGTTTAATTTGTCTCCGGGGCTTGCTGTCATTGACTTAAATCAGGACACTCTAGAGGAGAGGCAGAATTACAAGTAGAAAGTACACAGATGGATGTAGATGTAAATGTGAAAGGAAATGAAGCTTATTACTAAATACAGTTACAAAATGTTAATGAGGGGCCTGAGGAGACTTGAATAAATGGAGAAACCACCCAGTCCTGAACTGGTAAACTTGACACTGTAAAATGCTAATTCTCTCCAAATTTATCCATAAATTTACAGCAACTCCAATAAAAATCTCCAAAGGGAAATTTTTTGGAGCATAACAAATAATTCCAAAATTCATCTATTGGGATAGATGTCTATAAGAGTCAAGAAAAAAGAACAGTAAAAGAAGACAGAATTACCAAATGATCTAGCAATCCCACTTCTGGGGATTCATCCAAAAGAGTTGCAATCAGGATCTCAAGAGATATGTGCACACTCGTGCTCACTGCAGCATTGTTCACGATGGCCAAGAGGGGGAAGCAACCCCAGTGTGCATCAACAGACAAATGGATAAAACGGATGTGGTATGTACAAACAATGAAATATTATGGAGCCATAAAAAAGAAAGAGAGAGCGAGCCTGTCACATGCTACAACGTGGATGAAACTTGAGGAAATCATGCTACGTGAAACAAGCCAGTCACTGAAGGACAGATATGATTGTGCATGACCATTACACGAGGTATCTAACACGGTCTACCTCACTGAAGCAGAAAGCACAACGGTGGCTGCCAGGCATCTAGGGAAGGGGAAAATGGGAAGTGCAATGGGTATAAAGTGTTAGCCATGCAAAGGGAAAAGTTCTAGAGATCTACTTTACAACATTGTTTTGTGTTCATATTATACTTAACAATACTCTACCATATACTTCAAAATTTGTTGAAAGGGTAGATGTCATGTTATGTGGGGTTTTTTTAAACCACAATTTAAAAAAAAAAACTATATAAGAAGTAAAAGGAGAGACGGCTTGCCTCAGTTAAAAGAGTAGAGAATTGGTAGAGCAATAAGCAATAAGATCAATTAAATTTTTTAAAAAAAAGAGTCCAGAAACAGACCCAAATACAAGGACATGATACAGGACCACAACTCAATGTGGCAATTTGTTTTTTAAATCACAGATAACTTCTTCATAAAATATGCCAAAATGAATTTGATGTATTAGAAGTTTATATTAAAAATACTGAAACCATAAAATACTAGAGAAATTATAGATTAATAGTCATATAGAGCTGGTATAGGAAAAACTGTGCTAGATACATCAAAAAGGTAGAAACTATAAAGGAAAAGACTGATCGGTTTAATTACATTAAAATAAAAACACACATAGCGTTTTATATTTCTTCATCTACAGGTAAACATATAGCGACACGAGTAGGCACACGAAAATAATAGTAAAACTACAAGTATTTGGGCGGGAAGGAAGCACACCAAATTGCTCCTAAGAATGGAGGATGCTGTCGGGGAGAGACACGAAAGAGAACATCACCTTAATGTTTTATTTCCCTCTAAACCCCTCCCCCACAAAAGGTCTGATGGAAATATGATAAATTGTTAAATGTCACTTTTATTACTATCTAAACTTTCCTGGATTTTAAAATTTCTTTTAAAAAATATTTTTTGGGGTAAAAAGCAATCATTAGATAATATAAGCCTATATTATTTTTAACACAGGTAAACTACATACATGCACAAAGAGAGAAGTGAGAGGTTAATTAAAATGTTACCGTGGTTACCTCTAAGTGAGAGGGATTTGTGTGATTTTAACATCTTTTATTTTTGTTTTTGTTACTCTGCATTTTGTAGAGAGTCTTTTCTTAATAAAACACATCATACCTTAATTGAAAACAAGCATGCAAACAAACAAAAACCACATCCTCTTGGCGTTCAGAAAAGTCCAAATCAGACTGAATTTAATAGTTGGAGAACAGCAAAGTTTATGAAAGAAACCGTGACATACTAATAAACTACAGCATGTGACTGAACTAGATATTGCACAGGTTTCCTTAAGCCCTTAGGCAAGTTACCTCATCCAACCAACAAAAAAAAATTAAATTAAAAGAGGGATCTGTGGAATGGACCTTCAAAAGCGAAATGAAGAAATAATGACTGGAAGCAAAGAGGAGGTTTTCCAATAATTTTCACTCAGGTCTCACTGGTCAGTGGGGTTTATGGCTTCTTGCCAAGCTACCTATTTATAGCACAGTAAACAGTCCTCCTAGAGGCAATATTTCAGTAACAGTCAAATGAAAGGAAAGGGTAAATATCTGGCGACTGATCAAATCTGTCATCGGGAACAGGGGCTAATTAAACCCATACTATTTACTGTTCTAATTAGACCACTGTTTGGTTCAATTTTCTACACTAAACGTCACCAAACATAACTGTGTCCTGTCTATAACGTAATATAAAATATAAGGTTTTATTTCATAAAAAAATACAATAAGCAGTTTAATACACTCATCTGGAATTTTAGGTTGGGTAAGTCCAAATCATTTAGGTAAATGTTTAAAATATACACAGCTGAAATTGATTTTTCATTTTGTCATTTGATATACTGATAGGTTGAATGTGAAAAGTTGAAAAACATCATCATATATATTTTAAAATGAAAGTTGAGAGTTTTTGCAATACTGTTTTAATTTGTTTTTATTCCCACTATCCCATCTGTTCGGTTTATAGTTAGAATCAGGTTTCTTTCCATAACTTCTCTACCTTTACTTACAAAAAAAAAAAAATCTTGATTCTAAAATAACTAAAATAGGCATGTGTTAAAGGCAGCACTTGGTTTCTCTGATTGGATTGGTAAGATACATTCCCCCAAGAAAACACAGAGAAAATGGCACCTCAGAGGGGTCCTCCCTTTCCCAACCAGTGCCCTTTAAAAATAAGGGTCCTCAAGTTTTTCTCCTCTCCCTGGCCGGAAAGATGGTTGGAATTTGCTCTGAAATGCCAGAGCTGCTTCCTACCAGCCAGCCCTCTGCCTTTTTCATGTATTACTCTTCCTCCAAGGAGTAGCAGTAATATCCCAGATTTCTACTATTCTCCTCTCTTCCCCTTTATCTTAGAAGCACGACGACAACACAATCATTCAGAAACAACTCTGCTGAGGCGGAGTGAAGCACCCACTACCTGGATCACTTCTGAGAATGTATGTTCTTCCTTCTGGTGAAACAGAATCTGCTTCCCTGGAACGTTCCTTTCCTCTAGAGCAATGAGAGTTCTCCTTCTGCAAAACAGCCCTTCTCAAGCTTTCTCAAGGCCTCAAAGATCTGGCTGACACCCCTGGTAACTTCTATTCTCCAAGCTCTTTCATGACTACGTTCTCTCTCTGCACACATCTAAGTTTGCACATTTTTAATCTTAAAACGTAGTGCACAGAACACAACACTGAATCTAAAAAGAACATAGACCATACATTGTCCTATGATCCAGGTTTCTTTTGATGATGCTCAGGTTTCCTTCTTCCTTCCTTCTTCCCTTTCTTTTCCAGGCACACCATTTGTTGGAACTTGCTATGGCGTATCACATACTAGCTAAAAGCTGTTTGACTCTGGGTAAGTTTCTAAATCTTCCAAAACTCATCTACAAAATGGAGACGGTAATCTTTACCCAAACAGGATTTAAGTAAACTAACACTATAAAGTAAATCACACAGCATCTCAGCGAATGTGCTCAATGAATGTCTTGATAAATGTAAGTGATTGTTGTTCTTCAAAATAATGTCTTTCAAAACAGCAGAGGTGGAGCCAGCTCTCTCCCATTGGTTCCTACGCAAGACTTGACCCTGATCGCTACTGAATTTGCTCTTGTTGGTTCTGGCCCAGAATATCAGCCTGTTGAGACCCGTTTGAACCCTGATCCTGTCACCTCGTCTCTGAGCCATTTGCTCCGCTTTGTAGCTTCCGTATCTTCACCCAAGTCACTGATAAATGTGCGGGACATAGCTCCTAATCTTACAGAATCCCATGAATGCATATTTCTGCTTTTTTTAAAATATTAAGTCTACCATTAATGCCAAGTAAGCAGCCAACTAATCAGACTTGAAATCTGGGATTATAGTTTAATGTTACAATAAAAATATGAAATATCACCAATCACCATCATCAGATGTCAGGAGACAGGAAGGTTTGTGGGCAGGAAAGGAATCAATTAGCCCTCGGGAACTAGATGGGGAAGTTTGGACCCTGTCTTCCTGGGCTGGTGGTGGTGGTGAGCCTCCCAGGAGAAGAGGTATGTAGCAGTCCCCCTTGGGCCAGCCCTACCCCTGAAGTCTAGTGACAATATTGGCCCAATCTTTGGCCTGATGGTGACCCAGAAAATGCAATTTCTATGCTTATCAGTTGGGTACCACTCCACCGAATTCCCCCTTTTCAAACCTCTCTTTAAGCTTCCTCAAGTAATTATGT